GGAAGGTTGAGAGGTTTGACCAGCAATTGACTTTATAGATATCAGGTTCAGATTGCAATTATGGGACTTGGAATAGCTTCGTTATGTCATTTGGGACTTGCATGCAAAATTTGACGTCATTCCGGGTTGATTAGATATGATTCGACGCGAGTTGTATAAGTTGAAAAGTCATAGTTCATTAAGCTTGAATTGAGGTGCGATTCATGATTTTGATGTTATGTTTCAGGATTTGAGGCCTCGAGTAGGTTCGTGTTATGTTTTGGGACTTGTTGGTATGATTTGATGGGGTCCTTAAGGGCTTGGGTATATTTTGGATCATTGGGGGAGAGACTAGTTAAGTTAAGAAATTTGGACTCTGACCATGGTCAATATCGGGTCAAGACGACCTCTTTTCATTGTTTTGAGTGCCCGAGCAGGTTCATAGCATGTATTATGATTGAAATTCATATATGGTTTGTGTCCGGGAGGTTGCGGATGAGTTTCAGGGTAGTTTCGGATCATTTCGGTAAAGCTTGGGATTCCTGGTGGTGGTACTTCGCAATTGCGAACTTTTTGTTGCAATTGCGAAATACTGCATTTGCGAACTTTTGGTCGCAATTGCGAACATGTGGTCACAATTGCGAACATCTGCAATTGTGAACTTTTGGTCGCAAATGCGAACATCCGCAATTGCGAACTTGTGGTCGCAAATGCGACATCTCTTGCTGGGTTAAGAGTTGAAATTTTGGTATTTTAGCTCATTCTTTTATATTTTGAACCCTAGACTCGGTAGGAGGCGCTTTTGGAGAGGGGAGTTTCATCTACAATCATTGGGTAAGTGACTTTGATCAATTTTCTACTATTTTACATGATTATAAATGAGATTTAACATCAAAATTATGAGAATCAAAGGGGAATTTCGAGCAACTTTGTCTATGTGTTGAAAAAAGAAAATTAAGGATTTAAGAGTCGAATTGGACTCAGATTTTGAAAAACACATATACGGACTCGTGGGGTTATGGGTAGTCGGAATCTACCCTTGGACCCGAGTATTGATCGGGCGAGCCCGGTTGACTTTTGAGAAATTTTGTGAAGACCATAGCTTTATTTATTGAAATTGATATCTCTTGCATTATTTGATGTTATTAAGTCGATTTTGGTTAGATTGGAGTCGAGCGGAGGTGAATTGTGAAGAAAAAACTATTTTAGAGTATTGATTGAGGGCTTTTGAGGTAAGTATCTTGTCAGACTTTATGTGGGGGAACTACCCATTAGGATTTGAGTCGTTTGTGCTAATTGTGTTATATGAAAGCTGTATACGTGAGGTAACGAGTACGTACTCGGGCTTATATGTGGAAAATTGATCGGTTTAAACTCTTAGGCTTCTTTCATGTAGTTATTTGGAATTGTTAGCACATGTTATATCTTTTATTCGTCATGTCTAATATTTCATGATTTATTTAAAGTTGTCGTTACATGTCACATTCCTTACTTGTCGAGTTTGCTCTTATATGATTTATTTGAAGTTATTATCACTTTTATCATTATGTGATTTATTTTATTGTGGAGTTACTCTTAGTTGTAATTGTCATTACATGATATCCTTTTGTTGCCGGGTTATTCTCATGCATTTAAACGTAGTACTAATCTGTGCCATCTCTTTCATTGTTAGCCTATTAATACACTCAAATCTGAAGTTTTCCATTTCATAGAAATACTTTAACTATTGAGTTTATCCTTAAACAATTAATTAGAATTGAAGTTATCGGAAGTCATTAATCTATTTTAATTGAAGTTGTGTTTAAAATGGGTGTTGTTCCTTGTCGAGTTACGTTTTCGTTCATTTTGTTGTTATTGAGATTCTATATATGTTGTGTTGAGCCGTGTGTTATTTGTTGTGAAAATATTGATATCGTTGGATCTTTGGAAAGGTTGTGACATATAGGCACTTGTTATACGAGTTGATATGTTGTGTTGTTGTGATGATAGCATATATGAATTATTGTGTGGTTTGGTTGTTGTTATTTGAAGTATAAGGGAGGCATTTTACCGTTGTTATGCGGGGCATAAGGGTAGCATCTCACTGTTGTTGAATGTATGGAGTGATATGGGTGGCTATTGTGTTATTGTCCGGGCAGAGTGATAAGGGTGGCTATTATACGGAGTGATGCGGGTAGCTATTAGAGAGATAAGAGTGGCTAATGAAAATGTCATGGTAGAGTGATACAAGTGGCTATCAGAGAGATAAGGGTGGCAATGTCAAGGGTGATATGTGATGGCTTGGGGACATTGTGTTGGTGATTTTCATGTGATGGTGTGCTTTTCCTTTTGTATGTCATATAATTTGCGTGACTTGTTTTGTTGCTTCAATGAGCTACTCGATGTCTTTGATATTACTTGTTGACTTGGGCTACAGTAGTATACTTGCACAAGCATACACCGTAGCATGCCACTTACACTAGCTCAGGAGTATGAAACTTGACCTTTATTGATCGCGCCCATGTGTTCTTGAATTATCCGTTTTCATGTTGCTATTGATCCTGTGACCAGGCCGGGCGGATTACTATTGTGAGAATGTGACCATGCCGGGCGGATTACGATTGTGAGCCTGTGACCATGCCGGGCAGATTGTGATTGTGAGCATGTGACCATGTCGGGCGGATTGTGATTGTGAGCATGTGACCATGCCAGGTGGATTGTGATTTTGAGCTTGTGCCAGCGCTGGGCGGATTGTGAATGTGAGCATGTGATCATGCCGGGCGGTTTGAGATATTGGCACGTGAGTTGTCCGTGCAGTTGTGATTCGAGATGTGGGCACGAGGTGTTGTGAGTATATGATGGTGGGTTGAGATCCGTGGCTTGTCACTAAGAGATGAAGTATTACAAAGTGATTTCGTTGTGAACCTTGTGTTTGAATGGCTTGATTTATTGGTTGTCATTGTGTTGCTTATTTGGTTTCAACGGTAGTTTCATGGTGTTCCTATTGCATTACTGTTTATATCACATGTTGATTCTTGTTGCCATTTACTGATTCCTGCTTTCCATTATTAGCTTATACGTCTATACTGCACATGTTATTTTGTCTAGTGAGTGTCTTAACTTGTACCTCATCACTACTCCACCGAGGTTAGTCTTGATACTTACTGGATACCGATCGTGGTGTACTCATACTACACGTGCACATTTTTGTGCAGAGCCAGGTATTGGAGATATCGTACTCGGGGGAAGTTAGCTTGTTGATCGTAAGGATTCAAGGTAGAGTTGCTTATACGTCGTAGTCCCATGGAATCCTTTCCTTATATTGTACTGTCAGATTTTCACTTGAACAGTGTTGTATTTTGATCTTTGAGATCTTTTCATGTACTTAACTAGAGTTCGCGACTCTGTATTACCAGTCTTGGGAGGTAGTTATGATTATTGTCGTGTATGCTCATTTCGCTCTTGTATCAATATTCAAATTAAACTCTGTTTAAAATTAGCATTGTTAGTAATTGGTTTAATTGATATAGTAATCGGCTTACCTAGTCTTAGAGTCTAGGTGTCATCACAATATCCTACAGAGGGAGTTTGGGGTCGTGACAAAGATGAAACATATGAATAATATTGGTTGTACTTTTCTCCTAAAAAGTCTTTTGCTTGTCCTGTATGTCCTTTAGCAAGACAAACAAGATTGCCTTTTCCTGACAGTTCTATATAAACTACTAAACCATTTTAATTGATTCATATGGACACCTGGGGTCCATATGCTACACCTACTTATGGTGGATCTATGTATTTCTTAACCATTGTTGATGACTACACTAGAGCTACTTGGACTCATCTAATGGGTGCCAAGAGCAATATTTTTGACCTTCTTAAAGGATTCATTGCCATGGTTGAGACACAATTCCAATCTGTAGTTCAAACAGTTAGGAGTGATAATGCCCTAGAATTGGGGTCCAGTCTTGCTGGTTCTACCTATTTTTCTAGTAAAGGGATTATTCATCAAACTTCTTGTCCATACACTCCACAGCAAAATGGAGTGGTGGAGAGAAAGCATAGATATCTTCTTGAAACAACTAGGGCTCTTCTTTTTTAATCTCATCTCCCTATCTAGTTCTGGGGAGATTGAATTCTTACTACCACATACTTAGTCAATAGGTTTCCTTCTGCTTTACTTCTTGGGAAAAGCCCTTATGAACTGTTGTTTGCGGTTGTACTTGCATACTCTCACCTTAGAGCTTTAGGTGCCTGTGTTACTCTACTAAGACTAAGCCTCATAAGAACAAATTTTTTCACATGTCTATTCCTTGTGTTTTTATAGGGTTTCCTTTTTCTAAGAAAGGGTATAAACTGTATAATCTATCCAGCAAGGCAGTTTTCATTTCTAGGGATGTCATTTTCAAGGAACACATCTTTCCCTTCCTTANCCCCCCCATGTATCTTCCTTTTCCTTCAGCCAGTTTTGACATTTCTCCTTCTTTTTTTCATCTACTTCCCCTTCTCCTTCCTCATCTCCTGCTTCCTCCTCTCCTTCCTTTTCTGATCCTCCTTTATCTCCTTCCACTCCTACCACTTCTTCCTCTTCTATCTTTGATCTTCCCTTGAGAAGATCTTCTAGGCCTCATAATCCCCCTGTTTATCTTAAAGACTTTGTCTGGTACTCTTTTTCTCTAATATCTGCCCCCAGTCATGTTGCTCCTTCTATTACTCAACTACATATTCCTAAGCCTCACTCTTACTCCCAGGCATCAACTATCCCTGAGTCCGGATGCTATGAGGAAGAAATTTGAGGCTTTGGAGGCAAACAAAACTTAGGATATTGTTGAGGTGCCCCCTGGAAAAAAAAATCCATTAGCTGCAAATGGGTTTACAAGGTTAAGTATAAAGATAATGGGAATATAGAGAGGTATAAGGCTAGGCTAGTTGTTAGGGGTGGTACTCAAGTGGATGGTGTTGACTTCCTTGATAATTTCTCTCATATTGTCAAAATGTCCATTGTTACGACCTGAGTTATCGTGGTTGTCAAGAAGAGTTGGCATATGTTCCAACTTGATGTCAACAATGCATTCTTGCATGGTGATCTTGATGAGGAAGTTTTTATGAAACTCCCTCCTGGTTTTTCTGTTGGCTCTTCTTCTTCTTCTTCTTCTGATCCTCTAGTGTGCAAGCTTCATAAGTCTTTATATGGGTTGAGACAGGCCTCCAGACAGTGGTATGCAAAGCTGTCTCAAGCTTTACATTCTAGGGTTATGTGCATTCTCTCAGTGATTATTCTTTTTTCACCGAAGGTTCTGGCAACTCCCTCGTTATCGTGGTTGTGTATATGGATGATATTATTTTGACGGGGGTTGATATTTCTGAAATTTCCTCCCTTAAGGCCTTTTTGGATCTTCAGTTTAAAATTAAGGATCTTGGGTCTCTTAACTACTTTCTTGGGATTGAAGATCTACATACTAGTTCTGGGGTTCTTCTACATCAAAAGAAGTTTATTTATGATCTTTTAGCTGCTTTTAACTCTTTTTATTGTTCTCCTGTCACTTGTCATCTTGAGTTGAATGTGAAATTGAAGGCTAAGGAGGGGGATCTTCTCCCTAATCCTGAGGAATACAGAAGTCTCATTGGTAAGCTTAATTTCCTCACTAACACCAGGCCTGACCTTAGTTTTGTTGTGCAACATCTCAGCCAATTCATGAAGCATCCCTGTCTACCTCACATGAAGGTAGCCTTGAACCTCTTGAGGTATTTGAAAGGCACTTCTGACTTTGGCATCTTCCTTTCGAACTCTCCTGATCTCTCCTTGCAAGCTTATTGTGATAGTGATTAGGGGTCTTGCCCTGACAGTAGGAGATCTGCTTCTGGCTTTTGCATATTTCTTGGTGGCAGTCTAATTGGTTGGAAGTCTAAGAAGCATGCAGTGGTCTCCTTTATCTTCAGCTCAGGTTGAGTATAGGTCTATGAGCAAGGTTGTGGCTGAAATTACTTGGGTCTGCATGTTGTTGTTTGACCTTGGAGTTGTATCTGTTCCTATTTTCTGTGATAGTCTATCGGCCATTCACATTGCACGCAATCTAGTCTTCCATGAGCGGACCAAACACATTGAGTTGGACTGTCACTTTGTGCATAACAGGATTGCTGAGGGTCTCATCAGCTTATCTCACACATCTAGTGCTTCTCAACTCGTTGATGTCCTCACTAAACCCCTGTGTGGGGCCTCTCATCATCTTCATATTCGCAAGTTGGGGGTTCTCTCACCCTCCAACTTGAGGAGGGCTGTTGGGAGTCTAGATTTGGGCTGAAGAAAATGCGGGCCAAGGCCCATGTATATTTATGTACATTAGTTTGGTCCCATTTACTTGTAACACTATTAGTCTGGTAGCCCACTTCATCTATTTTCTTTTACTCAGTATTGGGCCATGTATATATAGACAAGGACCCGATTGTAATAGACAGATGATTCATTTTGGCTTTCTTTATCAGAAAATATATCGAACTTTCTCTCTCACTTCTACCTAACCCTAAGTTCTTCTTCGTCGAATCTATGTAGATGCTGGTTGTTAACAGAATCAATGTTCCTATGTACAGCTCGTGTTCTATTTCTAACTAACTACGACACATGTTCCTACACTGTTATGTTCTAACCAACTATTGGATACACGCAAAAATAAACAAAGTATTTAGAAATCTACAACTATTCTTCTGGTGTCTTTTAGTAGGCCCAAGAAAGACTCTGAGCCCAAAGTGTTGAGTCCAAATGAAACCGACCCAGTTGGAACAAACACAACTTGAGCCCAATGTATTGTGAAACCCCGGTTGTAACCCAATTCCTTGTGACCGTCTGATCAATCCACGTGTCACCATCTCTTTTATTCGGATCAAGCATATGTCTTACAGTCTCCATTTGCTCTTCCGTATATAAACCCTAACCTTGTACTTGATCAGTTCAGTTTAACAAGATGCCCACCCAGAAACTTAATCTATTTGCTCATAATATAAGATATATGAACAATGATTTCTATTCTGTTTTGAATTTTAAATGATGAAGACAGCTGAAACGGCTGCGGAGTGCATGATATTAATTGAAAATTTAAGCTCTTTATGTCATCCAACTTTTTAAAGCATGGAAATGGAATATTTAAGCTGTATATGAGCTAGTATATTAATCAAGTCAATCTCCTGTAAGCTGTTCAAAATAGGCGATAGGAATTACAAATGAAGGAGGTGACTTAGATTCCCCGCCGTTTTAAGAGATTTAATTTGGTAATGAAATTTCACATATATATGGTGTTGACATTGTGGTTATTATCTTAATCACTCTAGTTAGAAATTGAATTTCTGGATTCATTCTCTTCCGCTGAGATCTTAATTTTTTCCTATATCAATTTCGGCTTTTTTAATTTTATTTGTTTTTGGTTTGACAATTTGTAAATGTTTGTATTCTTTAACTTTTCTAAATGAACTAAGTTCTTACCCCGATACCATAACAACAATAACAACATACCCAGTATAATTTTACAAGCGGAGTCTGGGAAGGACAATATTGTGTGCGCAGACCTTACCCTTACCTTGTACAGGTAAAAAAAGTTATTTCCGATAGACTCTCAGCTCAGGCGAGCATAAGCACAGCAATTTAGAACAAGAGATGCAGGAATAAAGAAGGAAATATGAAGAAATTGGCCAGACTAATATTTCTCACTGACCAAGTGCCCAGGCAAATATAAACTCTAAACTCTCACTGGCTATAAGGTCAGGCAATAGTATTTCTCACTAACCAAGCGGCCAGGCAAATATAAACTCTCATTGACCATAAGGCCAAGCAACAGAAAATATATGTATATGATGTTGTATATCATGTATATAGTAGAATGTATGAAGGTGTGTGTGTAATTTTTCTATTTCTATTCAGTATCATGAAATGACACGAAGCGGATAAGGACCCCTCAATAAGATATGATGGAAATATACAGAAATATGTAACACATATGAGACACGAGCTCTATAGTATGCATTTCTTGTACAAGATTCATCCAACTCTTAATTACTTATTACTTTTTCATGCCAATGAAAAAAAAAGGAATAGCCATCACATACCTCTCATCGTCAATACGTCTATACGAACACAATAACAAATTTATCTCGAATAGTACCTCAATAGCAATCTAATAATACACCGAAGCAAAATTAACATCAGGAAGTCCTTACCCCCTGATGTATGATATTTTAGTTAATCCACGCGGTCAATGGAGCACATTGGTAGGTTGTGGATTAGTTTAAATTCATCAACTGAGATGAATTCTCTGTAAAATCACATTGTATAATCCAAGTGAAGCTACATCCACATTTACATAAAGACCTCCAACTCCTTCGAAACAATCATCACTCACTACATTTTCTCCAATTTTTGCTTCATCCTATGCTAAATATACAGTTACCACCGAAACAACCCTTAAAAATGCCTGCTAAAAGCGAGTATCGCACTAAATTGATCTGTCTCCAATTAATTTTATTTTATGCTAGAGTCCTTACTAGTAAAACTAGTAAAATCAACAGATATAAAAAAAGAAATTCTATAGGTGTGACTTACTTAGCCCGACAAGTCACATGCAGCAGGCTCAGACCCAGAGGGAGAGGACATTAAGAGGGGATCGAACCTGCGTCGGCCGTGTAGACAACATCTCCAAACCAACTGGGCCGGTCCATTCGGGACTATAGTTGTGACTTCATGACTCATATTTTACAGGTGTAAACCATACCGCCTATTCCTCAATTATCCAACTCTAAATCGTAGCTCAAACAGGTACAAACAGAGTCAAACAATCAACTCTCTCATATGAATTTGATTCAAACAATACAAAGTTCAGTGGAACCGAAAAAGACGAAACCCGTTAAGAAATTCATGAATAAATCATAGTATTACTATTCTCCATAAATAACAAAGAATCCAGTAGTAATGTTCAACAACAATAATGATAGTAGTAAAAAGAATCAACAGCGGTCACGACTACCGCCGCCCGTAAAAGTCAAAAACTAAAAAAAAGAATGAACAAAAAACAGTGAAAAATAAAATCATAAATAACTCCTAACTGTTCAACTCCGGCGAAATAAAACACAAAAGATCTCACAGATGAAAGATGATTCAAAGCATCAACGAAGCAGCAAAGATAGCTACAACAGCAGATCCGGCGACAGCGACTCTGTTCAAGGAGGCAGAGTTAGGAGATGAAGTAGGAGAACCGCCGGGAGCAGCGCCGATCGACGGAGGAGAAGAGCCAGAAGGAGATGATGCCGGAGTATCGACAGTTGGGGGAGCTGGTGGAGATGCTAATGGAGATTCAGATGGAGAAGATGCAGTAGTAGGAGCATTTGCAGGAGCAGAGACAGGTGTTGATGTTGTAGAAGGTTGAGGAGTCGCCGCCGGAGGTGATGATACTGGTGGCGGAGAACTCTTCGGAGAAGCTGCCGGAGATGATCCCGGTGCCTGAGCAAAAGCAGATCCAGCCACTAAGGCCAACATTAAAGCAATGATCATCTTTGAGTACGCCATTCTAGCCTTTAGAATAAGGAGCTTTTTGGAAGAAGAAAAGAGGAACAAGCACAAACAGGTATAGGAAGAGAAAATATGAAAGTGTTGAGTTCGGTTTGGAGGAATTGACAAGGAAAAGCAGTGTATATATAGGAGGAAAATATGCGGAAATTTTAAAATTTTATGTTAGTAAGTCGGTTTAGAAAAGTTGAATAAAATAGTGGACTAATAATTTGTTGACAACTCAACAACCGAAGAAGGACGGGACGGTGATTGAGTCCACCTGGTTACATTTTTCTTTCCGCGTCAAGAGATAAATTTCTAGAATTATGTTTTGTTTTGACTGTGTTTCTTTGTGCATTTTTTATTTGAAATAATTCGTCATAAAAATTACAAAAAAAAATTCTTTAAAATACTTTTCCTAAAATAAGCTAAGGACTGATTTTTTTTTTCCGAGCATTTTAATGACTGTTCTCTCTTTATATATAAAATTATTATTAGCAAACATTATGGTTACCGTTATAATTGGCACGTTCTGGTCTAGCTAGCTGGATTATAAAATTCGTTTCTGTTTTGGCCACCTAAGAAGCAGGGGCTGGGTGTTAAGAGGTTGGAAAGTACTCATTTGCATCTAACGTTTATTTTAAATTAGTATATAAATTTATAATAATTAGCAAAAAAAAGAGATGAAAATATACTTTACTTAATCACGCATAAGCAATTAAAATTTTATATATAAATACATATCATGCACTTATTAATTTAATATTTTATGTATATAATTACCAAGTAAAATCTATTTTTTGCGTATGGACATAGAAAGCAAGACTCTTTCTCGACAATCTTCTCTTTCTCTCACAAATGATGACCTCCAACGGGAAACTACAGAACATGGATTCATGTGCTGTATAAATTCTTGTTGTTTATTGAATTTAATTATCGGGGTAACCTTTTCTAAAATGTAATTTAAGTTCTTGAATTAGAAGAAGGGGAGAGAGTTGGTGAGGCTCTTGAGAATTCTTGTGCTTGTGGGGTCATTAGAGCTTTGCTTTTCCAAATTAGATATACATGTAATTTGTAAAACTTTTCAACTGTTGAACTCTATTAAATAGGAAAAAATAGATTGTAAATTGTAATCTTGATTGCCAGCCTTTTGAAAAATATTTATTTTGTTATGCAAGGAATATTTCTTTTAATTTTTTAAAATTTGAAAATGTTGCAACTAAATAAGGATAAAGGAGATTAGGAACTCAATCAGATGCGTAACTACCTTTAATGAAAGAGTTCAATTGAATACTCTACCATGGTAATTAATTTTATATATATATATATATATATATATATATATATATATATATGATTGAATCTTTTACCTAGGTTCAAATCTTAGGTGTATTTTTCGCTTCTTATTTTTAACTCTTAATTCAAATTTCTGGTTCCACCACTAAACTTAATATTTAATTTACTAACTACCCTAATGTAGTGAACCCGGGAATGGCTTGGAAGCAATAGAGATGTGTCTTTGTGAATTGCCATTTGCCAGAGTGATTGAAGATTGCAATACAAGATTCAGATCTTTAAGGGTAAGGAAACTCGAAAAAATTCAATAGCAAAATTCCTCAACCAGCTTGCAAGGGTTAGGTTCTCACATGGAAGATTTAGGATTGATTCCCCTTATCAATAACCTCTTTAGTCAGATCTCTACGCATCGAGCTTGTCTAGTGCGGTTTTACTCTCCAGTATGATTTGCGATAGCTATTACACAGTAAACAGATTACTAATGCGCACCTGAATAATAAAGACATCGAGTTTCCCCGAAAATTTTCCAAAAGAAAAAGGAAAAAAGAATTGCTCAACCTGCATGCATACTTCAATTGCACTCCTTGCCTGGCCAAAGAAAAAAATTGGTCCACTTGAATTTCCTTTTTTCTTTCTTTATTTTTTGCTTTGTTTTGCCACGTTCTTTCTTTCTACTTTTATCATTTTTGTAATTTTGTGTACTTACAAGATACTATTATTTTAAGTGAAGTAAGTGGATTACGGGCTCCTATATCATAATGTACGTAGGAATTGAGAAGCACCATAAATTTGAAAATTCTCAACTAATTTACAAAACGAAAAATAAACAAATATTCACTATATCAACAGCGGTCACGACTACCGGCGCCCGTAAAAGTCCAAAAGAAAAAGAAAAAAAAACAGTGAAAATAAGCTATAAATAAATCCTAACTCATCAACTCCGGCGAATGAAAACACAAAATATCTCACAAATCAGAGATTTAAAGAATCAAAGAAGCAGCAAAGACAGCTACAACAGCAGATGCTGCAACGGCGACTCTGTTCAAGGAAGCAGAGTTAGGAGAGGAAGTAGGAGAACCACCGGGAGCGGCGGCGATAGATGGAGGAGAAGCGCCAGAAGGAGATGATGCCGGAGTATCTACAGTTGGTGGAGATTCTGATGGAGAAGATGCAGTAGTAGGAGCGGAGACAGGTGTTGATGTAGGAGGAGGAGGAGTCGCCGCCGGCGGTGGAGAACTCTTCGGAGAAGCTGCTGGAGATGCTCCTGGTGCCTGAGAGAAAGCAGATCCAGCTACTAATGCGAACATTAAAGCAATGATCACTTTTGAGTATGCCATTCTAACCTTTAGGACGAGAAAACTTTGAAGAAATAAGAAAAGTGGAATATATATGCACAAAAGGAAGAGAAAATATGAGTGTTGTTGAGTACCGTTTGGAAGAAAGGATAGGAAAAGAGTGTATATATAGGAGGGAAATTTCTAATTTTATTACTGAGTTAGTTTGGGAAATTTGATTTAAAATAAGCTACGTAATTAGTGGACAACTCAACGACAGAAGAAAGAGAGGGGGATGTGACTCAGTCCAAGCTGGTAAACATTTTTCTTTCCGTGTGAAGAACTAAATTTCTCTGGAAAACTTTTGTTTGAATTTTTCTTTGTTTTTTTTTTTTTTTTGATTTGAGGGAATTTCTTATAAAGAATTCGAAGAAGCTTTTTTCAAAATATTTTGCGAAAAATTTATCAAAAACAACCTATGAAATGACTGTTGGATCATTGTATTATTACTAGCACAATTTAGCAAACATTATGGTTACCGTTATGATTGGCACGTTTTAGTCTCGTTAGTAGGGAGGAGTACTGTATAGAGACATGAGCTTCCCGGCATAGAGCTAACACGGAACATACGGGCTCGGCACAACCTAGAAATTTGATTTGAACGCTATATATTTGTTTAGAAATTTATTGAACATGCATATATAATAAACTTCAGAATCTATAAATTTCAAATACTGAATTCGCATTTAGGGAGCTTCGTGAGCTCCTGGTCATGCTGCTCGCAAGTGGCGAATTTTGCAATTTTCAAATATCAGTTAGTATGGGTTTTTACCTTCCTATATTACATATGAAACTTTATTACTCTTCCTAATCAAGTTTTAACTTAATTACATGTGTATATATAATTTACCAATTATATATAAATTAATATCAATGAGTATCCCTTTATATTAGAAATTGAATAGAGAATCTATATCCCTACTTTCTCTCTCACTCCCTCTCTCTTTCTCTCTCTCTCTCTCCTTTTCTGTTCTTTCTCTAGTTTTCTTCCTTCGTTTTTCTCTTCTTTTTATCCTTTTTTTTTTAAAAAAAATTCATCAATGGAGTTTTAACTTAGCAATTCTCTTCCATGTTGCACAATTGGTGTTTGAATTGAGATTGTCAATCAATAAACTTTGAAGGTATTTGATTCTCCACCATTGACAACCATTAAAAAACTCCGAAGCTTTGAATTCGAATTTGGGTATTCAAAAACTATTGTTTGTTTGGATTGGGTGTTGTTGTAAACAATTAAAAATATTCTTTGAAGTTTATATATCAATTTTGAGGGTGTTTGGTGAATATTAGACTTGATTTTGGCTAAATTTCAAATTAAAACTCGAAGAAGAAGAAGAAGAAGAAGAAGAAGATGACATGACAGATATGTACAAGTATTGGTCCTGCATATCTACTATCTATCTATATACTTCTTCCAGCCATCTCCTATCCTAGTCCCTTTTTCCGTTTGTTGAGTATCTCCAACACTCGAACTCTGCATTCTTTTTTAATTTGGTCACATACTCTATGTGGTCTAGGAACTAAACTCTGCCACAGGGCTTCATTCCTCCCCTTTCAGATGTGATAATTCATTGCTGCCAATACTACACATGAGAACTCCCTGCTCAATTTGCTTCCCATTTTCCTGGCTACTCTTTTCCATAGGTGTTGTCCTTCAAAATTTGTGATCCTTATCTTTAGCCACTGAAGTACTTCAGTGGTGCATAACTTGGAGAAGTGACACTCATAGAATAAGTGTTTAATAGATTTTGGTACATTTTCACATAGTACACATAGGCCATCTGAGCTAATTCCTCTGAGAACTAGCCTATCCTTTGTGAGCAACTTCTTCTGCATAGTCAACCAGCAAATAAAGTTGTGTTTTGGAATGTTTTGCTTGTTTCAGACCCGTCTTCCCCATTGGCATGTGTCCAGGTTCCCCTTCAATCAGGAGTAGCCTTTTTGGATTGTATATTTCCTTGCTTGTGATTGACATCCTTCATGAACATAACCACCTGCAAGTTTGTCTCTTATGTGGCATATTTTCTTCCAATACCAACTGTTGTCTTATGGTATATTGTATTGCCACCAATTTATATTTTTTAGGTAGATATGGTTGATCCATTTGACCCACAAAAAGTCAGTATTTTGAGTTATGTCTCATACATACTTCCCTATGGATGCCTCATTCCATACCACACAATCCTTTATCTCAATCTCTCCCTCTTATTTTGGTCGACAAATGAGGTCCCATGCTACTAGTGGTACCCTAGTTGTTTCCACCTTACTATCCCAGAGATAATTGCGACAAATTGCTATAATACTTTTGAGTACTGCTTTGGGGAGTACGAAAATCGATGCCCAATATGTGTGTATATGCATTAGCACTGCATTGATCATTTGCACTCTCCCAACATAGGATAAGTTCTTTGAACCCAACTCCTTATTCTGGTAGTTAGCTTGTCTAGTAGCACTTGACAGTCCATTTTCGATAGTTTCTTAGATGATATTGGAACACCTAAGTACTTGAAGGGGAGTCTGCCTCTACTGTATCTTGTTACTTCACACGAATCCTCTATCTCTTGTATCTCCATATTCACAGCAAATATGTTAGACTTGCCTGCATTGTTTGTTAGCCCTGAAGAGCTAGAGAATATCTAAAGGCCTCTCAGCATCAGTATCACAGAGTGGAACTCTCCTTTGCAAGAAAGGAGCACATCATCTGCAAAACATAGATGATTGAGCTGCAAACTTCTACATTTGGAATGATAACCAAAGCACTCTTGTTGTGACTCTAGCTTCAATATTCTAGTTAAATATTCCATACATATTACAAACAGTAGAGGAGATATGGGGTCCCCTTGCCTTAGGCCTCTCTTCCCTTTTATGTTCCCATATAACCCTCCATTTATGGCCACATTATTACGAGGAGTTGATATGCATTTGATAACCCACCTTATGAACTTCATAGGGAAATTGAGTGCATGTAATATTTCTTCCACAAAGTGTCATTCTATGGAGTCATAGTCCTTCTTAAGATCTATTTTAATCAAGCAGCTCTTGGTTGCTGCTTTCCTATTATATAACATGACTAGGTCTTGGCAAATCAATATGTTCTGCATGATTATTCTACTAGTTACAAAGGCACTCTGATTTTCAGAAATAATGTTTGGCAGGATAGTTTTAACCCTATTACAAAGCATTTTGGATATGATCTTATATACTATATTGCAGCAAGCAATGGGTCTATAGACCCCAACTACTTCTGCATGGCTGCTCTTAGGAATTACTATGATTACTGTATTGTTGATTACCTTTAGCATCTTCCCTGATGTAAAAACTATAGTACTCCTTCCTTAAGGTCTTTATTGATTATGTTCCAAGTATCTTTAAAGAATTTATTACCATATCCATCGGGACCTAGAGATTTTTCTCCATCAATTTTTCATAATGCTTGTTTGACCTCGTTCTCAGTGAATTCTTCAATTAACATGTTCCTCTGTCACTATTGGGCCTTTTCTCACCAGATTGTTGCATACATGTGTTCTATCTTCTTTAGTGGACCCTAACAACTCTGTATAAAAGTCCACAATGCCCTTGTTATCCCCTTCCATATTGGTAACCATGCTGCTATTAGAGTCCTTTATTGAGAAGATTCTGTTGGCAATCCTTCTAGCCTTCATATAACTATGAAAGTATCTGTTGTTAATTCTGATCCCCTTGTTTCAGCCACTGTACTTTGCTTTTTTGCCTTAAGAACTGGTCACTTGCTTTCTTTAATCTATTATACTTATTTGCCAATTCCTGCTCCTTGTTAATGAGACTATTATTGATGGAATTTTGTTGAATATGCTTCTGACACTCCTCTTGCTCTTCCTTAGCTTGTTCTGCTTTCAATTCTATGTTGCTAAATTTAGTTCTGTTCAGCCGTTTGAGTACTTTCTTCAGCCTGTTTAGTTTTTTCACTAGCTGACACATTTTGGTTCCTCTAATTTCAGTAATCCAGCTATCCCCCATTTTTTTCTTGAATTCAGGATTCATACTCCACTTGTTAAAGTACTTGAATGGTCTAGTAATCATCTGGTTTCCATTCTCTCAATTAATCATAGCTGGGCTATGGTCAAACATCCCTCAATCATATAGTGAACCATAGAATGTGGCAACTGTGATAACTAATCCATGTTTACCAATACTCTGTCTATTTTGCTAAGTACTTTATCTTCTCCACTTTCCTTGTTGTTCCAGGCATAAGAGGCACCAGTTGATTTCAGCTCTTGGAAGCAACATGTATCATAGCATTGCCTAAAATCTCATATTTCGGCCATTGTATTAAAATTATATTATGGTTGTATATAAATTATATTTAATTAGAATTTTAGAGAAGAAGAAGAAGAACACACCACATACAAAATATATACAAATCATATAAAAAAATACGTACAAAAGACATATTGTATAAAATTTATATGAAAATTATATTAAATTAGTTGTATGATGTTGTAGTTTTATTTAATTGGGTTAAAATAATGTATGAAAGTTATAGATAAGTTGTAAATAAGATGTATACTATGTATTTAATTGTTCTTCCCCATCGACATTTTTACTTTGCTCTAAACTCTATATATGAACATCATTAGTCTAAAGAATAATACGAAATAAATTCATGAACTCAAACTGGATTCAAAACATAGCAAAGGTTATCTTGAATTAACAAATATTGAGTAGTCAAGGTATAGGTATTTTGACATTATTGGAAGGCCTCGTGTGCTTAAAGAGAAAGGAAGTAGTTAGGTAATTTGTAAAGCTTTTATGTGAATATTTGATGTAGTTCTCGTGCAAGACAAGTCAACAATTGACAGCACAAGAAAACATTTTTGCTTGTGCAGGAATCAACGTGACTATGTAAAATAAAATCTTCCGAATATCAGTTTAATAATATCAGAAAAAGAAAATTCAATTTCAGTGCATGAGTTAGTTCTTTATTGTCGGACTCAGACCTAATTAGAATTATTAACGGCTTCATGATTTTTGCTTTGAAGAAGCTACGCTATATCCCATTAAATTTGTGTTTGTGACTTTTGAGAACCATTGGATCGTTTTAATTTGCTTGTGATCACAACTGAATATTTTTGGATTATAAACTCGGATGACAAAATCTCCTAATTTAAGGCACTAATAATGAATTATACATGGAGAGAGATGCAGAGAATAGAGGAAGAGAAGAGGAGAGAAAAAAAGAAGGAAAATGGTGTAACTTAATCCCCTAATTTAAGACACTAATAAAGGATTGTATATATAAATTGTAAACAAATCTTGTTTATGACAGTTAATATACAAAATTAGGACAATTTTGATAGATAAGTTTCAAATATTGTATAAGAATTTCTTTAAGTATCCCGGTTTCTTTTGTCCAGCTATTTCCACATATGAGTTACTCCAACTACTTTATTACTTCCAGCATCCTAATTTATGTAGTACAATTTGTCGTAAAAAATAATTATATTTTTGTATTTATATATATTTATCTTTAGACTTTTTATTTTATTCTCAATAAAATTATTTATATGTACACAAGTATTTACGATATGTTTAGACTACAAACCAAAAGTCTTTTTTTTTTATATACTCTCCAATAGGTCAAACTCAACGCATAAAAGTCAAATTATAACACGTAAATTAGCTACAGAGGAAGTAATTTTTATGCGTGTTGACTGTCTTGTCCTTTTTGATTTTGCAGTAAACATGACTTTGCTTTATACCAAGTTTTAAAAGGAATTGTAATATTTTCGGAGTTGTAAAACTTGTTTTTGAAATTATAGAAACGGAATGTTCCAATTAAATAAAATATGAATGCTCTTCAACAGAACAAATTATTAACTAGTTGATGAATACATCTCTCCATAAAATAAACAAAGAATCCAGTAATAATCAATAACAAATAGTAGTAGTAGTAAGAAAGAATCAACAGCGGCCACGACTACCGCCGCCTATAAAAGTCGACGGCTCCGGCAAAATAAAACAAAAAATATCTCACAGATCAGATAATTAAAGCATGAAAGTAGCAGCAAAAATAGCTACAACAGCAGATCCGGCGACGGCGACTCTGTTCAAGGAAGCAGAGTTGGGAGATGAGGTAGGAGAACCGCTGGGAGCCGCACCGATGGATGGAGGAGCAGCACCACCGGAAGGAGATGATGCCGGAGTATCGACAGTTGGTGGAGCTGGAGGAGATGCCAATGGAGATTCAGATGGAGAAGAAGCAGTAGTAGGAGCATTTGCAGGAGCAGAGACAGGTGTTACTGCAGATGGAGGAGTCGCCACCGGAGGTGACGATGTTACCGGTGGTGGAGAACTCTTCGGAGAAGCTGCCGGAGATGATCCTGGTGCCTGAGCAAATGCAGATCCAACCACCAAAGCCAACATCAGAGCAACGATTACCTTTGAGTATGCCATTCTAGCCTTTAGGAACAGGAGTTTTTTTTGAGAAAGAAGTTAAAAGTGAAACTAGCACAAAACAAGGTTATAGGAAGAGGAAATATCAGTGCCAATTCCCTTTGGAAGAAATGACTGGAAAAGAGTGTATATATAGGAGAGAAATAAGGGGAAAATTAAATTTTAAATTTAGTAGTCGAATAAGGAACCTGGACTAATAATTTGTTGACAACTCAAAGACAGAAGAGGAGAGGGGAGGTGACCGAGTCTCAGTTGGTTAAATTTTTCTTTCCGTGTGAACTGTGAAGTGATAAATGTCACTTTGAAAAGGTTCGTCTGAACGTTTTTTTTTTACTTTTTTTAATATGAGATAATTTCTTATAAAGAATTCGACAAAAGTTTTTGGAAAAACTTTTCATTAAAAAATAATGGAAACACGCTAAGGAATGACTTTTTCTTTTCTTTCTGGCATCTTAGGACTGTTGGATCATTAAATTACTAGCAAACATTATGTATGGTTACCGTTATGATTGGCACGTTCTAGTCTTGCTAGCGGAGATCATAAAATTGCTCCGTCTTGGCCACGTAAAAAAGCAGGGGTGCTGGGTTTGATGGTGTATGGGTCAAATTCAGGTTCTAATCGAAATAGTGCTAAGTGAAAGATTCAAGGATGACACGCGTCCAGTGACGGAGCCAGAATTTTTATTAAGAGATGTAAAAATATATAAAAGTAAATATATCAAAAAATTAAGGGAAGTCAACACATAATATATATATATATATATATATATATATATATGATTTTTTTTACCTATCTATACAGTGTATTTTTTCCGCAAAGAGTGTCCCTGTAAGGTGGCTCCGCCACTGCACGCATCGAAATGATCTAATTATCAGCGAAGGTCGTAGTCGAAGACTTAGCAGGGCTTGGGAAAGGAATCAGTGAAGTCGAAGTTGCAGAGTCGTCATCGAGGCCGTGGTTGGGCACCATTAACAGAGTTATAACGGCTAGTTTCAAGATATGACATTAAAGAGAAAATTCTAATGGATATTCTTTGCATTTGTACTATTAGGGTTTCCTAGGAGCATGTTCCCTATAAATAGAAAAAGAAACATTGATAGGGGGCATATGATATTCATTTGTAAAGAACACACTTTGACTTATAGATTCGGCTCTCATTCAAACATCACCTTTTCACTAAGATCCTTGTTCATACTTTTTTACTAGATCCGAGAATAACTCGAATATTCAAGGGATTGTCTATCATTCATCATTGTGAGGAAGAACATTCATTTATTCCATCTTTTCTTGGGTGACTCATTCTCTCTATTTACTTAAATGTCACTTATTGCTATTCTTTGTTATTAAATGCAACATTACTATTTCTGATTTATGGAATATTTACTATATATCACTGTTACTGACCGACCACATTTGTGCGATATTTATTACTCCTTTAAGAACCTCATCTAAGGATATTATTATTAGCTAAGGTTAATCCATGTTTACATAAATTTAATTATTTGAACCAAGATTTATATTTTTGGTCAAACAATTTGACGCCCTCTGTGAATTCCACTAGGAATGCGGGCACAAAATAGAAGATTACATCTCCCTCAGACAGGAAGTCGTAAACATGTTAACGTAAGGGCACCTCAAAGAACTGTGAAGCGACAAAGGGAGAACTAACTTTGCCAGACGACGTGAACATCATGGCGCGCCAAAGCCGTCATCCCCAGCTCGAACCATCAACATGATCAATGGCGGCAATGACGATGCCTCTGTCAATGGCATAAAGTTCACCAACACTCACAAAGGCAAATAGTCGATCACCCTCGAACGACATGACGGACTCGAAGAGAGTATCGTCTTCAACGAGTTAGACGCCGACGGTTTGACTTTCCCTTATAATGATGCCCTTGTTATTACTTTACACATTTTAGATACCGATGTCAAATGCATCATGGTGGACGATGAAAGCGGTGCATGCATTATCCATCCTCGATTCCTTACCCAAATGAGGCTCGAGGATAAAATAGTGTCACGCTGCATTACACTAACCGATTTTAATAATGCAGTTGAGCAAACGTCTGGGGAAATTACACTACCTATCCTGGCTGGCGGCGTAACTCTTGAGATTACATTCCACATCATGGACCAGGCTATCGCATACAATGCCATAGTAGGTCTACCATGGATACATCCCATGAGAGCCGTCCCCTCCAGCCTATACCAAGTGATCAATTTTCCAACACCATGGGGAATATTCAGCATACGTGAAGAGCATAGCACATCCTGAGAATGCTACCTCATTGCCTTACACAACACAACCACCCAATAGAGAAAAGACAAAGAAAAAGAGGCATAGCAACCAACAAGGTCGAGGTCGGAGTAATATAAGACCGAGGACGTCATCAAGGATCCCCACACGGTCGAAACTGCAGGATCGACCATAGAAGACCTCAACCCCGTTTGGACCTCAACGATCATAACAAGAAGGCCTATATCGGCTGCAAACTTCGGGAATCAGGTAAATTCCGTCAATCCTTAACAGCTAACACAGACTTATTTACTTTCAGCCATGCATATATGCCAGGTATTCCAAAGGAAATCGCCATGCATAAATGAAACGTCAACCCATTCCACCCCCAGTGAGACAAGTCAGGCGTAAATTCAATCCCACTATCAATGATGCAGTCCGCGAGGAGGTGGAAAAGCTGTTAGAAAACGGGTCAATCAGGGAGTCAAAATACCCCAAATGGGTACCCAACGTAGTGATGGTCAAAAAGATAAATGGGAAATGGCGGATGTGCGTGGATTTCACAGATTTGTAAGACAGTAGCATAAACAAAGAGGGCATCACACTCTAACACGCTCAGCAGACTCTAAGTCTCTAACACAATATCAGCCAAATAAACAAAGAATCAACTCTGTTTAAGGAACATCAAGAGCTCAAAATTCACCTTAGCCAAAATGTTTACTTTCATTTTATTGAACATACCCAAATACCCAATAATCTAATTTCAAGGTAAAACAAATCAAAACTCGTAAAAAGGTTTTAAAAAAAGAGTCAATCTTTAGTAGTTCTAGCACAAATTATGGAAGAAACTAGAAACATACCTTTAAATTTTGATTAGCAGCCAATCTCTTTGAAGTCCCAGCAAGCTTCTGAAACAACAGTTGGTCTCTTTCTGAATTTGTGAAACTATCGCAACAGCAGCCGATCTATTTTTGTATTTGGTCTTCGTTTGCCCGGAATTTGTGAAACTATCGCCCTAAATCGAAATTGACTTTCTGAGGAGTAAGGAGTGAGCTGAGTTCGTGACTGCCTAATGCTAACGCCCTAATATTTAGAGTTTATACCCTAATTGAATAGAGAGTGGGCTTGGGCAGTTGGGCTGGGGCGCTGGAGTGGGCAGTGGGCTGGGGCGCTGGGATGTGAGTGTAGTAGCTAACTATAGGTCCAACTTTAAAAAAAATCTTTAAAAATTCGGTAATTCGGTATACCGAAATTTCAAGATTCTAATACCGAGGACCGTACCGTAATACCGAAATACCGAAAATGTAATACCGAATAAGACCGAAATACCGAAAAAACCAAAACCGAAATACCGAATTAATTCGATCCGATTCGGAATTCGATTTTTCGGATTTTATGCCCACCCCTAGTTCATACCCTCAACTCCAAGATTAGAAGAGTTACTTATCTCGAACATGCCAAATACAATGTCGAACAAGCTAAGCAATGCTCCAGAAATTCCATTCCGCGCGTATCAACTTTCAAACGGCTCGAATCTAGTCACAATAATTTGACTAAGTCCATACAATTTATAAGAATTAATTCCATATCAAAACGCTAATATTTTTCATAAAATCCAAAATTACGCCCCAAAAATCACCCGTGGGACCCACGTCTCAAAACCCGACGAAACTCACGAAATACGACAACCCATCCAATTACAAGTTCAACCATACTAAAATTACTCAAATCCGGCCATAACTCAGCCTTCAAAGTTGAAAAATTAGTTTTGTGACATTATAGAAATTTTCTTCTATTTCTCTTGAATATTCAATAATCGTACACCAAAAATGAAGATTAATTCATGGAATATAATCACAAGGGAGTTAAGAACACTTACCCCAAGTTGTGTGGAAAATTTCCTCTCCAAAATCGCCCAAACCAAGCTCCAAAATGAGAAAAACTCTTGGAACCCTCGTTTTAAACACTGCCCAGGCATTTCTGCATCTGCGGTGCCTGGGCTCACACCTGCGCATCCGTATTTGCAGAATAAATTGCGCGCATGCGGACAATTCCAACCTTTCAAAACCTCGCATCTGCGGCGCCCTTCTCGCATCTGCGGGCTCGCAGATGCGCAAACCCTTCGCACCTGCGTTCGCCCCAGGCCAGCCCCAATCCGCATCTGCGCCAACACTTTCGCACCTGCGGCCTCGAAGATGCGGAAAATTCCTCGCACCTGCGAGCACTGCCCAGTCTCACTCTTGGCCGCTTCTGCGGCTTATTTCACGTATATGCGGCTTCGCACCTGCGATCAAAATCGTCGCAGGTGAGATCACACCAGTAGGCAGCAGTTCCAGCATTTCCTTAAGTCCAAATTTACTCCGTTAACACGGACCTACTCGAGGCCTCAAATCACACCAAACAACATCGAAACGACGAATTACTCCTCAATTTAAAATTAACGAACTTTGAACTTTCAAATTCTACATCTTGTGTCGAAACAGATCAAATCAATCCGGAATGACTTCAAATTTTGCGCACAAGTCATATTTCATATTACGGACCTATTCAAATTTCCAGAATCGGATTCCGACCTCGATATCAAAAAGTCAACCCCCCAAGCAAACTTCCCAAAAATTCATCTTTGGGCATTTCAAGCCTAATTCCACTACGTACCTCACAAACAATTTCCGGACACGCTCCTAAGTCCAAAATCACCATACGGAGCTATTGGAATCATCAAAACTCCATTCCGGGGTCGTTTACACATAAGTCGACATCCGGTCACTATTTTAACTTAAGCTTTAAACCTTAGAACTAAGTGTTCTAATTCATTCCAAAACCTCACCGGACCCGAACCATTTACCCCGGCAATTCACACAACAACTGTAAAGTACAATTCGAGCAGTAAAGGGGGAAGCGGGGTTGTAATACTCAAAACGATCGGTCGGGTCGTTACATTCTCCCCCACTTAAACATACGTTTGTCCTCGAATGTGCCAAGAGTAGTTTCTAAGCCATCAAATCACTGTTCCATCTTACCACACACGTACCCGGGGGTGAACCCACGTCACCCTATCCCACATAAGGCTTGA